GGCCACCATTTGGCTGTAGAGTCTGACGAACAGTTAAATAGGCGAGCTTCAGTTGGCGTATTCTGGTGTTCTATTGGCGTGGGCCCAGAGTCAAGTTCTCACAGCAGCAACAGCAATAGGAATAGCTGGTAGAAATGGCAACAGCAGCAGCTGCAACATTACCAGAAGCAGTTGAACTACTTACCCACTGGGAAGGCCAAAAAATAGATTTTTTTCAGGGAACGTAACTGTTATAAGTTTTATTTTAAAAATCACACTTTAACAGTTATTTTCTGATTTGTAAAGTAAAACTCAAAGAATAACTGTTATTTTTTGAGTTTTATAATAAAAGTTGACAAATAACAGTTATTCGTCGTGATCAAAAATAAAACTCAAACTTGATTTATGGCGATTTTGTGGGTAAACAAAATTTTAAAAAAAATATAGGTATAAAATATGCGCGGTTGCCTTTTTTAACAAATTTTTAGTAAGTTATAAAAAGCACGGGTATCATGATTTTTTTAAATATTTCATTTTTTCAAAATGTCAAAGGAATAACTGTTATTCATAAAAATCAAAAATAACAGTTATTTTTTTGAGTTTTATTATAAAAATCAAAAAATAAAAATCATTACGGATTTGTAAACTACAATGGCTAATAAAAATTGTGGCGTATTTAAAAAATTTTTAGGACCCTTCTAAGTGCGTGATTTTTTTGTATGAAAAATTTACAATAACAGTTATTTTCGTTCCCTGATTTTTTTGCCACTGGAGCCGTAATTGATGGCAAGATCTGAGATTGTTGTTGCTGTTAGCAGCTGACAACAAGTGGCAAACTGTGGCGAACTCCTTAATTTGCTGAGTGACCACGCAAACAAACCGACCCAACACAGAACAAACAAACAATCAGAAGTCTTTAGGAGATTTGGGTTAAGATTGATTAGGGGTTTGAATCCTTGAGGGACTTCTGATTGATTGCTGGTTTATTTTCATAGACCCTAACTTAGAAATACATCGAATCCATTCATTTAGGGATTGGTTCAATGGCAATACACTAATATTTTCTATTCTTAGCTTTCCTGATTAAATAAGGAATCAAAAATAATTGACAGCCAATGACCTTCATTATTTCCACCCTGGCTAAAACATAATTGCCAACAATTAGAAGGAATTAATGACCAACAAAAAAAGCCCCGCGTCTTGAAATGCAAATCAAATTGAGTTGCGCAACCGCAGTTCACTGTCCAATTATTCTTTAATACCTCGGGCTTTTTTACCACCATTTCTGCACCGCCATTGCGTGCAAATCGAATACAATAAATTAACTAGTTTTTGATGTTGTGTCATGCAAAATAATTTACGAATTATTATGCCTTAATCCCGGTAATCAATCACAGCGCCCGAAAAACAAAAGACTCAGGCGACAAACTCGAAATATGCAAAACAAAAACCGGGAAAAAAGGCAAGTGGAAGAATTTCTTTCTCTTGCCAAAATAAATCAAAGCCAAAGACCAATGTAATAAATAACGAATACATAAATGTATATATGCGTATGTTCCAGCGGTAACTTTCCTGGCCCTTTTCATTTCAGCCATCACTTATTTATTGAAGTGCGGCCGGCAGCTTCTTTGGCTTGGATGGTGCTGAAACTGGTGGCCAATGAACTCCAGCAATGAAAACGAAATGTATAAAAAACGAAAACAACAAGAACACAAAGCGGCCACGAAGAAGAACCAAAAAACGCGGCAGAGCCCGAAACAGAAACCGAAAGATACAAAAATTGTTCTTCCTTTCCCCCTTTAATTTTTGTTTTTTTATTTTTTGGTAAGAAGTCAATGAACCTGGCCAACTGCCTGTGTGCGTGAGCTTGAAATAAACTTGGCTTACCGAAAAAACGAAATGAAATGTAAAGAAAAGAAAAGAAATGATTGTTGCGCCCAAAATAAGAGAGGGAAGAGCGGGAGCGGCCAGAAAGAGCCATCAAAAGCGGGCAAAACGATGATGATGAGTTGGCCAAGAAGCCGGGCCAGCGAGCCAGCTGTAAATGCCGGCTTTTTGGGCCTACGCATGCCCGTATATCTCTCACATTAACTCTGTGAGGGTAGCCCCCCCCCTGAGTATGCGTGCCTTTTGGGTGTTAAATAATACAACCAAATTCTTTTTTTTTGTCCCGCCTAAAACGCACTTGTTGTTGGCCAGAGGCTTTTGCTTTTAGCCTAAACGAATTCATATTTATTTAAAAGAGAATGCTTCCTCTTTTTTTCTTTACTTTCAATTATGGGATAGGCGGCATTTGTTGTCGATCGGGATTCCATTCCCTAAGACGCAATAGTTTTATGCTAAAATGCCACAAAAAAAATCACTTTTGTTTATTGAGCTTAGTTGAAAGTTCTTTCCTTTTCTGGACAGCCGAAAATTAATGGTGCACGATTAGGCAGAAGAAGCTACCCCATAAATAAAAATCATTAAAATTGCTGAACTTGAAAGCATAATACAAAGAAATTACTGGCTTTTAATCACCACATTAATAATTCATATAAGCCCATAACACGGATAATAATCTTTTTAATATTTTCCTAATGATTTTTTTCTAAGTACTTATAAAAAAATGCAAAAAAGCCTCCTCTTCTTGATGACCATGATTTATTGGATATTCAAACCAACCACAACACTTTTATTTTTCTAGCTCGCCTGAAAATTCTTTCCCTTCATGGTCAGGGCCAAATGAACGATGATGTATTAACTACTAAAATTATGTTCATGCTCGTGTGGTGTTTAAGAATTTATTGACCCCATCGCGTTGGGATTTTGCTTTCAGCCAAAAGAGTTCTAATGGCCAGACAAAAAAGGTTATAATCCCAGTTGCCGCACAAAGTCTTTCGCTTTTTTCCTAAGCCAACTTTGAATGCTTCAATTGTTATTTATGGAGAATGATGGCGGTGGCAGCCGAGTGTGTCCAAAACTAATGAGCTAGGCCTTTTTCCCATTGGCCGCAAACGGATGCGGATTTACCTTTTGATTCGCACAATCCTCCGTCTTTTGTCTTTCTATCGAGCGTAAAGTTCAAGGTTGAGCTTGGCCGTCTTAAAATATTGATTACTCCCCGTGGTTAATTACACTTAACTTATGTAAATGCCCGTTTTTCAATTAGTTTTCGTTAAAGTCTTTTGTTCTGGAATACTATAATGACTTGACAATATCCATTTAGTTGTTGAATGTTCTCCCCAATGAATATTTATTTATTTCCTTTGTAGGCCCACAAACTTTTACGACTGCGGCTAGGCATGTTGGATAGGAAGTTTGTATCTAGTCAAATAGTGGTCGACGGGTAAGTGCTTTACACATTATTTATAGCGCGATTTTATTGACTTCGATTAGATCATTAATGGTTAAGAGTTTGAGTCATGGACTGACTAGTGCTTCTAAGCTGAAATCAGTTGATGTTAAGGAGCTTTTGAATGGTTAACTCTTACTTTTAGCATAACTTTAAATGGAATTTGAATCGTTTAAAAAATATAAAAAAGGAATACTTTTTTTATATTTTTTGTTTAAATAATAAACTTATTATTAATATTTTTAAAATAATTTTAAAATTACTTTAAAGGTTTAGTATATAAATTTAAATATTTTTGTACCTTAACTAAACTTTTATAAAAAAATGTAATCAAATCATTACAAATGATCCAATTTAATTTAACAACAGCTGAGTTGCTTTACCCTTTCATGGAGTATTCCTTAAAAGTATTGCATAAATTTAAATATCCAAATTAAGTAATCCATCACAATGATAAACAACCTTGTAAAGTGATGCGAAAAGCTCTCTCTGGCCATGTCACTTCCCTTTTTGCGAGCGCGACACTTGTTTGCCAATTGTTCGGATGCAAGTATAGCATCAAATGAAATTTGATAGCCCACAAACAAAAAAAACTTAAATAAAACTGAAACAGAAACAAATCATGAGCAAACCAATTACATGCCATGCCAAACTTCTGGCCAAGAGAGAGAGCCCCTATAAACGGGTTAAGAGAATTGAGAACAAGTGGCCCGCGGACGGCTTTTTGTTGCGCTTGGCTTGCGCGGATTCTAAACTTGTTAGAAGAGTGGTGTTGTAATTTTACGCTCGCATGCTCAATTTACGCTCGCTGGCCAACCTGAGGGTGCACTGAAAAGAAAACTTATTTTTTGGGTATTAAGAGCTTGGAAAAATTTCCGGATTCCAAAGTGCCATTGTATTTTTCACTTTCTTAATTAAATGTTAATGTTTTAAACGTGCGATATATGAGTTCTGGACTCAAGAAATAGCGTTATTTTATATGAATGTCAAATTTAATGTTTATAGATAGAGAATTATAAATATCATATAATTAATTTTAATTTTGGTTAGTTAGACGAGCTTGGAGCTTTATGATCTTAGGTAACGAAAGTTGTGGTCTAATTTCTAATGGTTTCATAAATCAATGTCTTTATGGTCAATAATATCATAAGACGTCAAAAATCCTATAATCCCATAATTTTTTTATTTTTGTGTGTTAGACGAGTTTAGAATCGAGTGTGTCCGTGTATTTTGTGCGAAAAAGAGTGGCGGTACTTGCGTTGGTATTCGTGCTGCCAAAGAGATACCTGCGCCCGCGCGCTCACCTTGAATGAAAGTTCTGGCCTGTTGCGCTCGGCGAGAGAGACAGGGAGAGCGATAGAGGCCGATAGGGAGAAAGAGAAAGAGACGGGGAGAGAGCTGAGAGAGCAGTGAGATCTGATCAGTGTAAATGGCACTGCGATCAAGAACCTGAGACACCTGAGCTGCTCTCTACCTGGGCGTTGGTGTGTGTGCGTGTTCCCCCGTCCGTGTGTTTGAAGAGAAAGAAGAGAGTGCTGGGCGTGCTGGTGTGTGCGTAAGGCCGTGTAATGAAATGCTGAAAAGTCTATCTGTCTGCGCAGTCGCTGCGCTGTCGCTGCCGCTGCCTTCAGAAGCCTCTAACGACATCGACATTGAAGTCGCACCGCGACTCATCCGTAGTTTCAGTTTCCCGTAAGCAACAAAACGATCGAGACATGATTTCGTAAGACGCACGCGTTTCGCTTCTACTTGCTTCAAGACAGCAAAAAGACCACTGATCCACCAGACTTTGCAAAACTAAAACCACCACAAACCCACCCGCTAAAAGTTCTGAAATTACAAAAATATCTACCTAGAAGCTATAATTCTAATCTTCAAACGTGATTTGTGTGCATCTAAAAAATTGACAAAAAGTGACATCCATATCCATAAGACTGCCCTTAGATATGCAAATATATTTCCACTAGACCTAAGCCACTTAGTTCAATTCCCCAACCAGTGCATTTGTGTATCAGAATTATAGTTTGCCAACTATATATTCGAAAAGTTTGAGAATAACAAAGTGTCCATCTTAATTGAAACTTAAACAGCCAACAAGCACTTTTCGGCTTCGGATTGGATTTATTGCGTAATGGATTTAAATTTAGCCGCAACATTAGCAGCAACCTCAACAACACGGAACGGATATGCATTTAAACACTGAACATGGTGAGTACTTCCAAGTGATTTATCTCCTATGAACTTGGCCATTTTTCCCACCTGCCTTTTTATAGCCCTAAGTCAATTATACAGTTGACAAGTTGACGATCATGCTATTATATACAATTTGGCGAAGGGTTTTTATGGGTGTTGTAGTGGGCTTGGAAAAAGCAGTTCCCGAAAGTTCTGAAAAGAAAGCTTTCTTCGAAAGAGTTCGGTCGCTGTAGAAGCTTCAGGAAATTTTTGGGCGGGATTATAAGAAGTTATCTTTAGTGCTAGGAACAATCACTTATTGTTCTTTTCCCATAAATTGCATAACAAATCATTTTATTCACTTCTCATTAAATCATTTCTTTCAAATTGATGCTTAGTTAATTTCTAATTTCCAGTTAGAACTTTTTTTTCAGAACTTCTCCTTTAATTTATTCTTAGATAATTTTTCTTTATTTCAACTTTTTTATTGACATCTTAATTGCTTGAGTTCTATTCCTGATTTTCAACTTTTTCTCCACTAAATCTCGCACTCCCAGCGACCATAATTTATGACTAGCGTTTAATTTTAACCATGATGTTACACAGCAGCCAGCAACATCTTATTATTCTTACGACCACGACGAAGACTTTCTCATACAATTTATGCTAATCGTAAATTTTCGATAGAAAGGTTATATAATAGTACGTCGCACTGGGCGAGAACAAGTTTCCAGCAAAAAGCCCAAAAAAGCGTATGAAAAAAAGGTATGATGATTAATTACAGACAGGCTAGAAAAATGGCATAAGCAGCTAAAATTTCTTGGCCACAAATGGGAGATGGCAGAATAATGGGGACTGGCATTTCATTAGAAAAATCGTATATAAAGGCTACCCCTCTCTCCTGTCTTCATACACACAAATATATATATTTTAATAATCACATCAGCAAAAACAACAATGTAGCACTCACAACACAAATAATTAGACAAAACCAGTTTGGGCTTAAACAAATCGCACAAACAACAAAATGGGGGTAAACACGCCGGCCGAGGGACAGAGAGCGAATTATAGGCTGGACGAGCGACGGAGCGAGATGGCGACAGATAATTGGCGACGTAAGGCAGAAAAACCTTGACTTTGACTTTAAATGACTCGACAACTGATCGCACGCTAACACGCTCCAACAGGCGGCGATAAAAGCAACATCCAAGTCAGCAGCAATAAAATATTGTATAAACAAATAAATTGAAATCGAAATCGAAACGAGATGAATGAACACAGCACAACGAAACCGAACCGAACCGATCGGATAGAATGAAATCAAAACTCATTGCGAATTTGTAATACGTTTCGAAATCACACGAAGATAATTTCAATATCAAGGTCATTAGCAGCTGCAGCTGTCCAAGTTCTGTCGATGACCACCTGCTCCCACAGAGCCGTCAATCTCCTCCTGACTTGATTCCAAATGGCATACGAAATGAGTTATATCTCAATCCCCCCATATATAGCTTATATGGCTTGGAAACAGCCTGCTTTACTTTGCAATTTAAATGAGCTTCCAACTAAGTTTGTGTATGAAAGCAATTCTATTTATTCTTCTTCGGCTTTAGCTTCTTTTTCATATGTTGCTCTTGTTGTTGTTCTTTCTTTTTTTGGCACGCATGCCGAGAGTTCATTGACTGTCAGCCACCACAGCACACACACACTCACACTCTCTTCGCCCCACCCCACAAAACAAATGACTTAGGCAACAAACTTGCCTTCATTCGGTTTTCGTTTTCATTTCAAGCCCCAAGAAGAGGCTGTGTGCGGAAGCGAGACACAGCGATAGGGAGAGGCCAAGGACCTAGGCCAAGAATTAGAGAATCCCCTCTTCAGACCCCCCTCGAAAAGTGAATCTGCCGCTTCAGCTAGCAGCAGCAGCAGCGGCAGAAGAAGAAGCCAATGACCAGGAGGGGAAACCAGTTCAGATCGGCTCATCCTTGGGCCAAGGGGCTCGGTTTGAGTTTGGGGCAGGTTGCAACAGCCAGCTCCTCTATCTCAGCCACCTCCTCCTGATCCCCGAATCCCCCCAATGGTACAGGCATCGCACATCGGGAATCATTTGCCGTGAAAAGGGCGTTCAACTGGCAAATGCTCATGGGCACATGGCGTGCTCAACTGAAGCAAGCCAAAGGTTCTTGCACTCATCCAGTTCTTCTCCCACTGCACTGGAAATAAATAGATCACTTAGATCTATTTAGGAAAAATTCAGAACCAAGAAAATCACTAGAACGGATTTTTAAGTTTTGGATGTATATATTTTGTAGGCTATTATATTATTTAGTCTTGTAAGAAGAGAGATTATAAATAATTTGAGAAGTGTATAACATTAGATTTAATTTTTTCTGACAGAAATTTTTAGTATAAGTGGTCTCATTTAATGTTAAAGACTTTACGTGATCTATAGGATAAATAATAATAATTTACTTATAAAACCTATGCTAATCTGCTGTTCTTTAAATGTGATTTAGGGTTCTAATTAGTTTTGTAAATACATTTTAAAGAACTCATATTTAATAGGGTATATATCACTTATATCAAATAAAAGTTTTTTCTACGGTGTTGTTAGGCCCGGTCTTCTGCCACTTCTAAGGCCTGATGAAAAGGGAATCAAATCACTCTTACTCTTGGCCAGCTTTTTTTTGTTCAGCCAGGGTTATTGACTCGCTCGTGGTCTTACCTTGGGCGGTTCTTCTTGCCTTTTGCTTTCTGCTGGAGCTGCATCTTCGGTTGAATTTGTTGCTACCTTGGCCACTTGCCACGCACAAGAGGATAGCGATGGGGAATGGGGTTTTGGGATGAGGAAGAGGAAGAGGAGGAGCTGCCAAGTCATCCACGGCAGCTTCCCAGGTAAAGAAAAAAAGAGGCTTAAGAGAGCCCCTGTATTAAAGAGAACGCCGACGCACAGGTGGGATACACAGGTAGAAGTAAAGAAAGAGCGAACCAGGAAGAAAGTGTGGCCAAGCAAAAGAATGGAGCGCAAGAAGTGGCAGCGCAGCAGCAGATGAAAAGAAAACAAGTTCAATGACCGACCTACTCAAGCGCGTTATAACCAAAGCACACAGACACACACATACGTACTGCGGAGAGAGGAGAGAGCATATGCGCATGCGCAGAGCTAAAAAACCGAAGCCGAAGCTAAAGCCGAAGTTAAAACCGAAGCCGAAGCCGAGATACGAACCCACTTGACGTTGAACTTTGCTGCGACAGGTTCTGTGTCAATGTTGTTGTTTTGTTGCCTTTGTCGCCTTTGTTGTTGCTGCTTTGACACTATCGTGTTTAGCTGTAAATGCCCACATTGTTGTTGGTGTCGTTGTCGCCGTTGTTATTGTTTTCTGTGCAACGACTGTGACATTGCGCACTCAGAAAAATATATAATCTTAAAAAAAATACCAATCTTAACTAAGAGTGATTATTGTATAACTAAAACGATTCTTTCATTTTTTAAAAAATATTAAAATCAATAAGAATCTTTGCTATAATCCCATTCTATAGAAATGTGAGTTTCCCAAATTTTTCTGCCAGTGTATTGATAGAAAAACCAGCCGATAATTGATGGTCAGATAGAGGTTAGATGGTGGGAGGTTGGAGTTGCCCAACTATTTGTCTAGGCCCCCCACTTCTCTATAGAACTGGAAATCAAATTATGCTCATTTACGCGCCATGAATACGTAATCCCCCAATTTACCGGCCCCTCGTAATTTGACTATGACAAAATGGCTTTTTATTAACCTAACGGTACATTCACCGGCTGTACTCCACCTATCACTTTACGGCTTTACAGTTTTATGTCGCTGGCCATTAAAAAACGTGCTTGGCGTACTTTATGTTTATTTCGCTGGCGGTTAAGTTCACACAAAGACAGACCGACCGCTGAAATGAACTCTGAGGAGGTCTTATTCTGAAGCTCTGGCGAATAGTTTTGCATAATGTCCCTGGCAGCGAGACTTCCGGCTTTAGCTCTAGTTCATTGTCAACGGTCAATTTGCAATCGAATGCAACACAACAACCCCGTAAACAGAGCATGCGTTGCAGTGGAAAGCCAGAGAGAATTTGGGTTAGAAGAGAGTGCAGCGAGAGACTGCAATAAGAGCTTTGTCATGTCTGCAATGCACTTAGAAAAAATACGCCAGTAGCTTAGAAAATATATATAACTTTGGTATACGTTTCTAAACACAGTTATAACAAATGCAAATAAATGAAGTCGAATTTAATTATAAAGATATTCGAACTTTAGGGAATATCTTGAAATTATTATATTTTATATACATTTTAGTAGATGAGCTAGGATCCCAAATTTCCATCACTTTAGGATGAGCCAGTAGTTCCAAAAATCCTTTGCCTGACCTTACCCAATATGTTTTAAAATAAACTCTGTCTGTGGCCTTTTCTGCCCCAGACAGAGATCCACCCCCTAAAAAATCCGACGTTGACCGAATACGAACTCGATTTTATGTCTGAATCCGAACCCGAATCGGAGCTCTGCTGAAAAGTGCCGCCCTTGCTGCGCTGCTGCCGCCGACGTGCTGCCCCTGTTCCTGTTCTTGTTGTTGTTATTGTTTCGCACTGGGCGAGTTCAGTTGATGCCAAGTGCAAGTGCCAATAGCAATGGCCTCCACACCCCAACCCCCATCCCCACCCCCACTCACAAAGAGCCACCTTGTTTACTGTCTGCAGTAGAGAAGCACTCGGCGGGCAGAGAAGCCGGCGCTGCAGCCAACTTCGCTGCCGCTTTTGACTGAAATCGAAGGGAGCTGGCAGCTTTTGCAGCTGCTCGTTATTTCAGTCCTGACTCGGGATGTTAACGCGTTGGGCAGGTCATGTCTCATGGCACAGCCGCGTTGCGTGGACCAAAATCGGCAGAGAAAATCAGCAGGACATCCCGTGCACATAAATATATATACATATAGTAGCTGAAAGCTAATGCTAAAGCCACAACCACAGCCACAAATGTGTTCAATCAGCAAACGAAAGGCGTTAAGAATAGTACA